GTGTTTGCAAACATTGGTAACCTACTACAAAAGACTACACGGGTCCCAACTCAAAATAATACATCATGTTTGTTGCTTATGTCGATCAATTTTCAGCCACACATATCTAGTATTTTGCTGGCAGACGTGTTCAGTTTTCGTAGTTGAAAAGATAAACGTGCAGAGTGGAGACAGACGTAGTTTTTATCCATCGACACTGGAAGCCTCGTTACACTTTAAGATTGGCGTTTGTGAGTGAATTTCTTCCTTACTACATACACCAGGGGTGGCCAACCCGCGGGCCGCATGTGACCCGCCTTGAACATTTTTCCGGCCCGCGAGATTCATCACACTTTTACAAAATATATTTATTTTATAATGGCCAAAGTAGTGAAAACCAATGTATTAAAAAAATACATTATTTGTGCATCCATATATTCAAAAATTATCTGTCGAAATTATGAGAAAAAATTAACTTTGATTTTAAAATAATATTCTTGCGAATATATGACAGATATTGCCTGTTTTATTCATGAGTTTACAGTTATGAGTTCGCAGAATAATTAAACTATATTCTGCGAACTCATGATGCGCGTGCATCTTGGAACATCTAATATAACAGGTTCACCTTTTCATCAGCTTTGCATCCGTGGTGGCACTTTCTCCCACCACGATTGCGTTCGTAGATGGTAATGTCAGTTTCGAGATATTTCTTTCACCTTGACGCAGTCCTGATGCTACAAAAGTTTTCATCTCAGTAGAAATGTAACGAAACATTTGAACTATTATTTGTCATCTGTTAATAAGTCGCAATTCTGCTCCGGTTCTGTACTGTATTTTATATGTTTTTTTTATTCAGTATGTTTGGCAGAGAACTTACATTGCCCTTGTGTCACGTGTACGTATAGTTCTATGCAGTATCTGATTTAATGCAATAGCCTTTTATTTCTTGTTATGGTATGGAGGGAGCACATTCTGCAACAAACTTGTTATGCATCTGCAAGTAGTCATTCAGTGTGAACCAAGATTGATCTTCGTTATAAAAACAACACGTACTTCTCATGAACTGGTAAATATCGGGGTTGCCTGATTTTTGTTTCCATGTTGAATGATCGACTGTTATTTTGGTGCCATCAATATATGGCAACGTAGCTCGGAACCGAGAAAAAAAAGTTATCCGCCAAGGAAGGTCATATGAAAGAATACGCTCGTTACCAGCGATTAATGTCTGCCATTGTTTGTGCCTGCGTGGACCGATGTATGATTGGCTGTTCCAGTTTACGTCTGAGAACCGATTCGAAATCCCGATTTGGAATACGCATTGACGGGGACTGATCACACTGAAGAAGTGGCTCACTATTGTGACAGGCTTTGTTATTGTTATGTCCACAATGTCCGTACCAGCTCTGGAGCCCACCCAGCCTCCAAACCAGTTAGTACCAGGTTTTTTCACTGGGGGAAGAAGCGCTTTGAGCGCTAAGCTAACTACTCACCTCGGGTTAATGGCGTTATACCTCCACTCCTCCATACATCCGCATGACATGGTGCTTTGTTAAACACCAGAGACAACTTTACCTTTACCGATATTAATAGAAGTAATTGATGCTACAAACATGCTTTTGGTAAAGTGTTTTGCCATTAATATACATGAATCCCATTTCATAAAGAATTGTTTTCAGGTTAGGAGATGTATTCTAAGTTCCACAATCGAGATGATGCCACAGTTTTAACCTCATTTTCTGTTATTACAGAATTTGCACCCCGCATCCTGGAAGTGTTACGTTCATTTTTATTCTATAAGAAAGGTGATGTTTATGAATATGTGGTGTGTTCCTTTCCCTTCCACACACAATATTTAAACCAGTTGGCCACTTTTGATGAAGTATTTTATGGATGCCTTGCCATTGGAGGCTACTCTCTTTATACGTTCCAGTTCACCACCCAATTACTGACCATGCACACAAAATACTGAAGAAATGTTTTTGCTATCTTTGTGAAGTATGTAATTTTTAGTTAGGCTATCCGTGTATGGAATGTAAATTGACAATGTATTGCAGCTGCGTGAAATATGTTTTTTGACGTAAATACGTCTATAAGGAAGGGTCATTCGGCAAAATCAGCGTTGCGAAGATGTGTAAGATCCATACCAACAATGTGTAAATATGGACTGACAATGGCCGGCTTTTATATGAACTCCTGCGTGCATAACAATGCTTTACTCCTTTACCTAAGAAAATAATTATGTCATCTGTTTACTCGGCATTGTTGTGTTTCATTACTGCCGTCAACAATCCGCTTTCGTTAGTGCGGAAAGAGCTGAGCTGTGAATTGCTTGTAGAAGAAATGCGTCGTAGAGTAGATAATATTGTGCTGTTAAAAAGTTTTAGAATATAAGTCGCAGGGTGGTACGTTTCAACAAATTGTATTCAACTACAAGAGTCTAGATCATCAGTTGGTGTACGTTGTCCTTTCTCGCGTTACATCGTTGGACGGTTTGTACATCACATGCCAAAGGAAAAAATAATACAAAGGTAAAGGACTTGCGCACTGAGCTGTGGCGGTTAGAAACACATATTGCCCACGTTGACTGCTTCGGTGAGAGCATTCATAAGGAGTGCTGGTATTCGTGATCTAAAAATGACTACTCTAAACGTACAGAGTTTAAAAACTTATGTGCAAGACATATCGACGGATACAGTGATAACTGATACCGAAACGTTGATGCACAAGAATGAAACTGTAAATTTGGAAGGTTATAAATGCATCACGCAATTTATGCGTGACGAACAAATAGCAGGAGGAGTGGCTATGTACGAGAAACATGGAGCAACTACCATGGCTACCCCCACAACTGTTGATGAAATTACCTAAGGAGGATGGAGCAGTTTGCAGAATAGCTGCAGCTGAAAAGAGAGGTGATATTTGTGCGGCAGAGTGTGTGGTCAATGTTGAAAAAGTTTTAATTGTTACTCTGTATATTTCTGACAACACACCTATTGATGATTGTAGGAGATTTGTTTTGAGTCTTTTGGGAAGGTTTCCTCCCAAATTTACGGCCACAGAAGGTCATAATACAATGCTCATAATATTGGCAGGAGATTTTAACATTGATTTAAAGAAGGAGGAAAATCAAAGCTTTGTCACATTTATGGAGGAAACGTTTGGCTTAATGTTGATGTTAAATCCTGAATGTAGTACTACTAGATCAAAATCTTGTATAGATATGGTGTTTGCACGAAATATTGATACTCTAAAGTGCACAAATTTGATAACATATTAAGCGTAAGTAATTCAAGTTAAATAAGCAATTGTAAATCATGTATTCTTCTTCTTATTCTTCTGTGGCTCTCCGGTACGTATTCGGTCCATGGTTGAATGTTCTTTTCAGAATATCTTGTTGATGAAACTTTATTAAGAGTGGCCTAAAATATAATATTTTCATTGTACCTGTTGAGCATTGAAGCCAGAAGCATTTGTGTAACTTCATATATTTCTGCAAACATTTGCTTGTTTGTCTTTAGTTTCAGCTTGGTACTATCAGGAATATTTATGATAATCACCACATAGACTATCTGCAACCATTTAATTGCCGGCCTTCAAGACGTCGGCCCCATCGGTGATCAAGTTGGGTGGTGCTGCGGCAGGCGGTGGTGGTTCGGCAGGTGGGATTAACCGGAGAATATATTCTTGAATATAAATTAGGTATAAGTGATTTACTGTTTGTACATGTTATTCAATATGTTGGCAGGTTCAGCGAACCGCGGTGCGGGTGGTCATCATCAGCGCCATGTTGTTAGTGTTAGTGCTTCTTCTGCTGCTGAGATGGTTCGTACTACGACTACTGCCAGACTTGTGCGAAGTCCTTTCACAGCCACAACTCTCGCCCAAGGCGGGAGAAGTTTTGTGGTCGGTCAGGCACCTTCACCGACTATCATTCCGGCGAATGCCAGCGGTAGACGGAACGCAGCCGCCACCTCCCTCGGAACATTTATTCCCCATCAGACTCAGAATTCTTTGTCTGAAGAACCAATGAGTTTAATCGTGCAGTTGGGAACGACTGTCGTAGCTACGTCTACGCCGCAGATGTTGGCATCAAATTCATCGGTGACAATTGCAAAGTCATCCCCAACAGCCAGTGCCACTTTTCCCGTTGGAAGGAATGTCAGTCTGAATTATCCCCAGGCAGTGAACCAAATTACGGGGACGGCCCAAATGCAGCAACACGTTCGCCACACTCAAGTGATACAGAGACCTAGTACAAATACTGTTGCAAACAGCAATGTTAAGGGCGGTATTAATTGTAGCATGCAGCAGTTGTATGTTCAACAGCAGGTGGTGCAACCACAACAGTCGGCTACAGTGGGAAAATCTGTAGGAGATGCGAGGGCATCGACTAATGAACAGGGGTAAGGACTAGTATGTATACGACTATGTCATTTAATACATAATCCTTATTCCATAGGTTGTTCAGTGCTCGAGAATTTTGTAGCTTCTTTCGTACTTGAGGCCTTGTTTGTCGCAGAAGTCTGTACAGAAATTAATTCGGTTTCTTGTATTTTAGGTTAGAACGTGCAGGAGTTGTAAACGCAGAAGAAGAGAAGGTGGGTTTGGCGGGGAGGCATAAGTTTCTGAGTAACGTTTCTGTTTCGCATCAGGCTTTGACAGAAGAACGGAGGATGGAAATAGTGAAGGTAAATGGAGTCTGTTACTTAGAAGGCTTTAAATCCCTCAAACCAGAGGGCAGGGTATGTAGTTATGCCTGAAATGTAACGTAATGGCAGTATCCTGAGTCAGTACTCACTGTTTGCATGCTCTGGGGAAAATTGAGATTTCTGTGTCGTAGCTTGGAATTTTTTTGGTACTATTTGTATCATTAGACCTTGAAACGCTGTACTTTCTGTTGCTTCCAGCTGCTCATCCATAAGCTTGACTAAACCCAAATAATTATTTTCTTTTAACACACCATTTCAGCGCTGTTCAAAATGGCTAAGACGTGCCTTTGATTTATTAATTGGTTTTTGTGCCTTGTCGATCCTTTGATACCGTCAAATATAAGGCATTTTGAAGTGTGAAAAAACTCTTAAAACCAAGCAAATCTGGTATTTATAAATGGAAGTGAGATGAACGCTTATTAAAATACAGGAGCATTCTGAAGTATGACTCTGTTGATATATACGTTTACTTACATTTGTTTGGTTTTAATATTTCTTCTTCTTAAAGTACCTATCCGTTCCGGATGTTTGCGATCGGCAGAGCAATTTGAGCTTTACTGGCTGCTACTTCAAACAGCCCTCCAGTGGACATCGAGAACCAAGTTTTTAGGTTCTGAAGCCAGGAGATTGTTGGCCTGAATACTTTTCCTTGGATTATCAGCTGAAGCATTCGTATCTATCACTATTTCTCATGATATGACCAAAATATTCCAACTTTATCTTTTTTATGGTGTTAACAACCTCAGCGTCTTTGCGGAGTTTCTCGAGAACTCAGGTTGTATATTATTTGAGTGTTCCAGTAAGAAATTATTTTGTTTTTACAGTTTGTTCTACAAGATCATAACTATGGAGCACCTCCTCCAGCATCACCGCCTCTGTCACCATCACATCATGGGAAATCGATGAATGGAGCAGCCAGTGCCGTTACGTTAGGACCTAACAGTCTACCATCAGGTGGATCGGTTTATCAATATGGTATGACTTCGTCTTTTTTCGAATAAATTGGGTGTGTGCACTGTATCGAGATTGTAAAATTTCGGTACATGTGTTTTGGACACTTTTATTGAAGTAATAAAGTGAACTTTGCCACTGGACCCAAGGTTTGCGGGTTCGATCCCGGCCGAGGGATTTTTTAAGGGTGATAAAAATCCACAGCACAATTTTCTTCGGAGGGGAAGTAAAGCCGGCGGTCCCACGTCGTAGATTTACGGCACGTAAAAGGACCTTACGAGCATGATACGAGACATTTCGTAACAAAAATTCAGCTTCCAGTTCTCACCCAAGTCTCTCCTGATTCACTGCTAGATGGCTCTGGCAGTCAAATCAGGATTGAGTAGAAATTGTGCAGTCAGTGAGCTCGTCACTCACTACGCATAAATGCACGCTTCAAGACCAAGAAACCTCTGAAAAGGAGGCGGCAAAAACCCACAACCTGATAGTAGAGCCAAGAAACGACGAGAATAAAGTGAACTGTGTTGTCAGATTTCTGTTAATTATGTAAATTATGCTCCATCTTTTAAGGATTATTTGATTTATTTTATTTTGTTATTGAAAGTTGGTATGACATCGGAGTAGTATGACGTTACTAGTTAGGAAACAGGAAGTTTTATTAATTTCCTTCAAAATTGGTTGCTTTCGTAGGCCATGATGATTTTTATGTTTTGTGTGGTTGGTTTTAGGTTCTGGATTGTTGACTCTCCGTGATGGGGCCAGTAATGATGATGATGCTAATAGTGTGATTAGCAGTAACACTGGAAGAGAAGTTGAGCCGGAAGGAGAAGAGACTGAAACGGCTCCTGAGGGAGAAGGCGATGATGAAGATAGTGTTACACGTTGCATCTGGTTAGTTGACTTGTTTCATGTGAATAACGATTTATGGCTAATTGTGTGATTAACATAACACTGGAAGAGAAGTTGAGCGAAAGGCAGAAAAGACTTGAATGTCATCAAAGGGGGAAGGAGATGAATAAGATATTATATTTTACATCAGCTTAGTAAACTATTTTAATGTACCTTTTAAGTATAGGTGTCTTTTTGACGTAAATACGTCTATACGGAAGGGTCACTCGGCAAAAAAGCGTAACGAAGATGTGTAAGATCCATACCAACAATGTGTAAATATGGACTGACAATGGCCGGCTTTTATATGAACTCCTGCGTGCATAACAATGCTTTACTCCTTTACCTAAGAAACTAATTGTTGCGTCATCTGTTTACTCGGCATTGTTGTGTTTCTTTATTGCCGTCAACAATCTGCTTTTGTTATTGCGGAAAGAGCTGAGCTGTGAATCGCTTGTAGAAGAAGTGCGTCGTAGACTAGATAATTTTGTGCTGGTAAAAATATCAAAAGTACTTATCTTATATAAGAATTATTACATTTCATTACATTACAGAGACGTATTTACGTCAGATTCTCCGGAACCGTGGTTCCACTGTCAACTTTTAAATTACAAAATCAAAATTTTTGAGACTTCTTTCATAGAGTTCCAGTAACATTATTCGTTTTTGAATATTTTAGGTTTTTATTATCTTATTTATTTTAATGCTATATTTGCATTTGTATGTGGTTTTTTGTTTTGGGATTTGTTTTGTATTTGACGATTATTACTATTCTATTTGTGAGTGACTCTAGTTGCATTCAGCAAATTCCATCTTGGCAAAATATTACCCTAACTGTAAGTTTCTCTCCCCTCTCTTGGTGTTAGATTTATGCACGGTGTGGCAGGAGTCCCCCCCCCCAACCTTTCAAATTGTCATGGTATATTATCTTCAATTTTTTTTCTTTTCAGTGATTTTGAACATGATGATGGCTATATGATATGCTGTGATAAGTGCTTGTAAGTATCCATTTTTTATGTTGGGCGTATTGTTTTTGTCACGTATTTGATGTAGTTATTTTAGCGGAAAATTTGATCATTGGCGGTGGTTTCGTAAGGTACCTACAGTACAAATTTTGTGAACTGGAAAGGACTGTAAGAAATAGATGGCGTGGGGCCAAAAATGTCGGTTATTTTAATTATTAGAGTAATTTTGTATTTGTAATTTTATTTACTTTAAATAGTTCACTGAGCATCTTTTGGTTTTTTTATTTCAGTGTGTGGCAACACGTAGATTGTATGGGTATAGATCGATCCAACATCCCTGATGAATATATGTGTGAAAGGTGTCAGCCCCGTCGCGTAGATCGTCAGCACGCGCGGACGTTACAACTCAGGAAAAGAGAAGAGCTTCTTAACACGGACAGCTCCAGCGACACCTCGTCTTCATCCTCTGCCGATATAGATGGTGGTAAGTGCGTTCATAAAGTTGTTGTGGGACATATAGGTTTTAGTATGTAGAAGCCAATTTTTTATGAGCGCAGTTTAGTGTTCCTGTTTGTTCAAGATGCAGAATTTTCCGTTTAAAACTCAGCCCTAATTACAGACATTTGTAAGCTTTGGTGACGGCACAACAGGACAGGTAGGTTGTTTGTTGGCGTATCTTCAACATTTCCAAGTGTCTCACTCGTCAACACTGTCTGATGACGGTCTTCCCGTTGTATACACTTGCCGTGTTCAAAAATTTTGTTACAAGTTGGTGTATTGCTTATTTGATACATTATTCTCGGGATACGTATCGTTAAATGTTTTACGAACAGCGGCAAATGAAGTATTCATTTTTAAAATGTTTTTTTTTTAAGGTGTAATCAACTCTGCTTCAACCCTGACGTCTAAGAAACATGCTGCAGCTAACACAGTTTCTAGACATAAGAGTGAGCCTACTAGTACAAATAACAAGAAAAATGTGACAAGCAATAATAATATGGCCAGTGTTAGAAAACCGCAAAGACAGAGAAGGGAGTCGGCAAAAGATCAGTCGCAATCTGCACCTTCAGCTGTGTCCGCTACGCAGAGAAGGGCCAGTTTGGGTCAGAATAGGAAGAAGGAAACAAGGGCAAGCACAGAAAATAAAAGGACCCCTGCAAGAAGAAAGGTACGTAATAGAAAATGTGATAACGATAAATGGAAAAAATAACTTTCGGAAGAAAACGTATATTGCCGTATTCTTCTGATTAAGCACAGTGTAGTATGAGACACTTGTGCTGGTTTTTGGAGGATAGTTTATATGTCACAGAGCAGCTTAAGTTCAAAATGGTTTTGGTTAAAAAACAGTGTCTGTTGTATAATTTTGACAAAAAATTTTAACAGATGAAGTTCTCCAGATTAAATTATGAAAATCCATACACTGGCTCTGATGGACAAGATGATGTCCGTGGGCGTATTTTTGCAGCTTCTGTTGTGAATGCACCAGAAAATGAGTAAGTCTGAACATAAGAACAGTATGTGCCGTGTACTTACAGAAAATGTGTTTTTTTCTGCGATTTTCAGAGTAAGGGCCGAACAAGCGAAGACGAGAGTCAGGATGGTTTGGATAAATCAGTGTCTAACTCGGGCACCATGCTTCAGCTTCGTCAGTGGATTGATAACTATGAAGAAGCTGTTACAAACCATTATTCCCCTGAACTGCGTGCTCGAATCTCAAGTATAAAGGTGAATGGGTTTCACTCTGACTTGAAGGCAGGAAATCTTCATAGTGTGACCAGTGGAGCAACGAAGTGCAGAGTTTCACAGCTTGCACCAAGTGTTAGGGTGAGATTTTATACTTTATGAGAAACCTAATTATATATGCTGTCATGTCATTATTATAATTTTATAGCTTCTTTATTATTTAATAACAAAATTATATTCCGTATTTTTAGATTCTTGTTTCAACGACGTTATTATCAGCGAACCAGCCAGTGATAGAGCTGAGGGGAAAGTATATGCTTTCTACTCAGCACCGCCCTCCGTCATTAACCGTCATGAACAACAGAAGAACCCGTCCACCTCCTGGACCATTTATTTTCTTTTATCGGCTGCCTAAAGATGGTACAGAGGTATGCGTAGATACGAGAACGTACGGTAATGATGCCAGATTCATACGCAGATCTTGCAAACCTAATGCAGAGGTGAGTGTGACCATTTGAGAAGGATAACATTTTAAACCTAATCTAACCTAACCTAATACTTCAAAATTTGCAATTCTTGTGCAATCACATCGCTGTACCTAGTCCAGAATTTGAATTCAGGATTTAAAATTTGTTAATGTTTACTAATACATTATCTCTGTGCCCTGAAAGTGCAGTAATTAAGTGAATCTGAAGACACCTTAATACTGTAATATTGAGTCATGTTTGTGATTTTGTTTGCATTATAGCTGCAGTAGACCCAGTAAACCCTTTTTGATATCTGTGATGTGTAGAACCTCTGTTTTTTTTTCAACATGTTTACCCATAGTTTATACAACTGGCATTTGACTTTTTTGCTTTCACAATAAATGTAGACGTAATATGTGTATATATTAAAGCTTCCTCCATCTTTCACTGCCAACCCCAGAACAAATACTTCTGGTCTACTGCAACATTACACTTACTACAGCATTTTTGAGTACACTAGCATGTAACGCGATACTTGTTTTCTCAGATACGCATTTATGAGAAAAAGTTTTCACGTATGTGGGTAAATATGACATGTTCGCTACTGTTTTGTTGGCAATGATAATAGTTTAATGCATAAAGAGCTATGTTTGGTATTTACCTTTCTTATCACAATGAACGTTGGCAGTTAATTATAAAACAATGTTTGATGTTACATCCTTTTGCATTTAGAAGAGCTCAGTAAGATTTCATTGCTTCTTTTAGTGCACTAACTTTATTGTGTTTTGTTTGTTTTAATTATGGTTCTTTTTTTTTGTGTGTGTTGGTTCAGATACGTCACTGCATCGAAAAGGGCATTCTGCACTTGTATGTTGTTACAATATCCAGCGTAGAAAAGAACTTTGAGATTACTATAAGCCATGATGGGACACAGGATGCTTCTGCGTTGTTGAACAATGGTGGAAGCCCTCAGCAGTTTGTATGTGCATGTGGAAATCCCAAGGAATGCACAGCACTTAACAGGAGAAATGGCATTCATGAACCAACCGAGTAAGTGCTTTAATATGTACTAGATTGATGATCTTAAGTTTAAAGTGGATGTATGAAATTTTGATATTTTTTTAAAATGTTTTCTGTCCAGATGCAGTATCTCTCACCGAGCAATAAGAATTATCATCATCTGCGTTTTTTTCTTTGTTTGGAAGGTTTGTGAGATTAAATATAAATTGATCCAGAATTGCTGAATAGATTCTATTATTAACTGCGTGATGAACCCTTTAAAGCCAAGTGGTTACTATATGTGGCAGTTGCTTTAACGAGAACTAACACCGCATATTGAATTTTTGTATTGTTTGTTTCTCACAGTAAACAGCGATTATTTCTTTTCATGGTATGAACCGAAATAGTATTTAAACGAGATTTGACTTCAAAGGGTTGTTGCATTTGAATAACATGTGAATGATTGGAATTTTTGCAGTTTGTTTCCAAGTACATTATTATAGTCGGTTTCATTTAACAGTAGAGAACGTCGACGACGTGGGAGGAGAACAACTTTATCTGAAGATGCCGATCCCTCGACGGTATCGTTACAACAACACCAGAACAATGTAAACAGTGGTAACAGTCAAGGTTTAATGAACACTAATAGTGTTGACGGCCTACCTTTGAGGAGAACTTCCACAAGTGCGCGTTCACCTACCAAAATTCCACATGAGCAGCCAGAGCAGCAACAACAACAACCGCCGCCGCCACCACCACCACCAAAGCAACAGCAGCAAAAAGTAGAATCAGACCATGATCAGGCAGTGTCAGATTCAGTTCCTGATCAACAAGATAAGAAGAGAAAATTGGTAAATTCATAGCTTGCTTACATGTTCTTGCAGAATTATTCTTCTTCTATGGCTCTCCGGTCCGTATTCGGTCCATGTCCTCCTCAATTCTCCTCTTCCATTTGGTCCTCTGTTAGGTCTGTCCGAGGCTTCGATCGAGGTTTCGAAACATCTTCCTTTTTACGGTGCAAGGTTGTTAGCTTTGCGACCAACCCCCAACCTGGAGGACCAGGGTACCTGTCTTAGTCTGACCTCTCCCCCTCGACCAATTTGGCTAGGGAGGCCCTACCAGTAGCTATGCTACCGCCAGCATATCTCTTGGGGTTACTGAGGTACTCAAACCCCAGCAGAATTAGTAATGAAAATTATACATTGTTACATCTGTATTTCCTTTTTTAAATGTCATGGCTTTTTCTGTGGGTGGTGGTTTTTTTATATAGCTAGCTAATGTTAAAAACACTAAGCTGTAGAATTAATGTTGTCATTGACTTCTAAAGTGTGGGAGCTCTTGTGTGTCGCAAGTATCTTTTTCAAAAGGATTTTGATTGTGTATGATTGAAATATTTTAATATGTGTGTTTCCTTATGTGACTGAAACAGATAATCTTCTTTGGAATGATCACCAGTATATTTGGGCAGAGCACTTGGCATGTGGGTGACATCGTAATTCTAGGAAGTTGATAGTAATTTTACTAGCTGTGAAAAATGTGTTTTATCTCTAGAAATGAATCGCTTTAATACAGATTTAATACTCTTTGTCAGTAACGTGAGATCTTCAAACACAAACGGAACATTCAGATGACTCACACATCAAGTAGTTTGCTCGTACCTTTTCATAAATGTATGTTCCTCATTCATTTAGGGAAATTATCATTGTAGACACATTGATTTTTGTGAAACATGTTCTGAACATAATTACATTGGTGAGTATGTCTTGTTGAAGGGGGTTCTGTCAGTAAATTCCATATTTTTAAAATAATTATGTATTTACAGTGTCATTGTAAATCAGAATTTTGTAGTAAGCGGTTTACTGACTAATGTTTTAATGCCTTTATAGACACGTGAAGAACGTAAAATGGAAGCAATTATGAAGGCGTTTGAACGATTAGAGAAAGCGGAACAACGAAGACAAGAAAATCAAGCGAAGCAGGCCCACCGTAAGGAGCATCAGCACGATGCCGCAAACAGCAGCACGTCTAAGAAGGAACCGGTGTTGGATACAAAGAAAGTTCCAGTTGAAGTCAGGGATGAAGGTCCAAGGAGCCATGGGTCCACTGTTAAGCCTTCTACTGCTGACAGACAGAGGAGGAAGAGGTATTAAGGGAAAACTATTATTACGTTAAAATTTTCTGGGCCTGAATCAGATAATTTAAACATGGGGAAATAACAGTAAGATGTCATAGAAACCTAGCTTAGCAGATTTCCAAATTAATTTCATTTTGATGAGACATATTTTTGCATTGAAGTAGGTATTTAAAAGTCACTTACCTCATTCATGTCCCTTGTAGACCAGAGATGTCACTCTCACTTTCAACTCTGTCCTTAATGCAGGCGCAGAGGTCGTGGAAGAGCAAACAGTACGTCACAGCATCCTCCGCCTCCACAAAGGAGGAGAACGCGATTAAACTCCGGAGACTCGGACATGACGTCTGCAGATGAAGCTGTTGCGGTTTCGTCTAACACCGGACTTCTTCATTCCCCACAGGCTTCTTCTACAGTCAGTCATCAGCCCTCACCAGTGTCGGCAGCTGCAGGCTTGCTGCTGGCTTTGGCCAGTGGCAGTACGCCACACCAAGACTCAGTTCCATCATATCAGCATACTCCACCACATCTTGATAGGGTAAATAGAGCATTAATGAATTTGTCTTATTAACTGTATATAAAGTGGTATAGAATTGTGGAACTATAGGCTAACTTTGATTCTTGTGATGATGTAGAGCAGTGGTCCCCAACGCGGTGCCCGCCGGCGCCATGGCGCCCACATTGTTACGGAAAGAGGTTACACTGAATAATGAAGGCCGTTCAACCACGAACATTATAAAATCAAAGCGCAGATCTCGACTTACTGACGCCCATCTTGACGATTGTTTGCGAGCAGCAACATCATCCTACACTCCCAAATTCGAAAAAACTGGCCGATGAAATGCAGCGCCAAACATCACACTAACTTCCCACTTGAGTAATAATAATTGTACTTATAAAACTACGTATTGTTGATTGCATGGTTTCTTGTATCATTAAACGTCGTGTTGTTTTGCGTATTATTTGTCCAGATAAAATAAAATTTGGCTTTGTTAATTGGTTGGTGCCCGCCACGATCTCATAAACTCTCAAATGTGCCCGTGGGCCCAAAAAGGTTTGGGACCAGTGGTGTAGAGTTTTGGAGTCACGTATTGTTACTCCCACAGCAGGTTGATCTTTCTGTTTCTTCATTAACAATTTTGACGACAAACAATCAAACAATTCAAGGATAAGATCATAAAAGAAGGTAACTCCGGACATTGTATAAAATGTGTGGCGCACATGTAGGCTTTACACATGACGTGTATTTAACATGAAGGCCTTCAATTTGAGCATTTGTAATAATTTTATGTGATCCCAAACTTCTGTACAGTATAAGGCAATGGTTGTTCATTATTTTCTGTGCCTGATATGCAGGTTTTTTCATAATCCATGTTTGATGAATGTTGTTGCTTAATTTAATGAAGTTCTGTGCTAACGTTTGTTGTGGTTCTGGGAATAAATGTAATTGTACCTGGAAATTCGGATTTCAGTTACCAAGCAGCACTACACCACAGGCGCAAGGAGGCGTAAACCCCACATTATTTTGTGACAGTGCGAATAGCAGTAGTAGTGGTAGCTCGCAAGGCTCCACGCCTCCCACACCTCTGTCTTCGGCCTGCCTACTGGTTGCGGCAGCTGTGGGGCCTCTTGCACCTGGATTCAAGTTCCCGAAGACAAAGAAAGTATGATTATTTATTTCTTTGATTACGTTTATGTAATTGTGGTGTCTTAGGTTGTCCATTATCAGTTGGTTTTGAAAATATTTTCTGTGTATGGTGTTCTTAATATCACTTTTTATGCTATTCATAAAGTCTCATACTCTGTAGAATTTGAGGTCCTCATGGTAATGTGTACAAAGATGGCTGTCTTCTGGGTTGTAGCGCTTTGTAGTCAGGTTGCTTTTACCAGACTACATAGCGCTACAACCCAGAAGACAGCCATCTTTGTATACTATTGTGTATACCTTATATAACAGAAGACAATATGGTTCCTTTTGATTTTTGTCTGTTATTGTCAGTCTTTATTGATTTTGTAGTTTTTCTAATATAATCTTTTTGGTCGAGGGGAGTTGGCCATTTTGTTAAGTAATAGAATTCCTATGTTTTTTAACATTTGTTGTATATAGCAGCGCAATGAGCAAGATGTAATACATGTGCTTTGGTATCATAAGTAAAATGATTAAAGGAAGGATGATAAATCCATATCGTAACAAGATATTGGATTAATTAGAATTTTTGTATAAATAACACTAATGTTAGGTGATTGTAAAGGATGTGTATGTAATTTGTAGATTCTTAACTCCTTAACTGGCATGTTATTCTTTCCCCGCCCACTTTTCTTCTACCTGTATAATAGGTGACTGTAGTAAACTTACTGGTACATGTCTGAGTGGAGAATTGACTTGATGTTCAACCGAAAGTGCCCATCTGTGCAAACGCACAGTCACTGGTAACACCAATAGTATGTAGTTTGCTCCAAAAGTGAGAACATTTTTGGTAGTGGGTAATTTTTTAAGGACAGCATTCGGAATGATGTCATGGCTTCAAGTTCGAGTTATTTCTTCACTTAAGACCCTCTGAGAGGGTCTATGCAAAGTAGCATATAAGTGTTATTTGTGTGTTAGTACATACATTTTGTGGTCTTGCCATTTGGGGATCAAATATACATGATTGCCAGGTAAGGGGTTATTTTATAACTTTCTGTGGGGTTTTCATAAGTTCGCTTTCCTTTGTGTGTCCAGGTTCTGATGAATGAATGGCTTAACAAGTCACCTGAACTTCCATCAACTCCTTCATCAACTATTCCTCCCCCTTTGACATCTCCCATCCTTTTACGCCCAAGTGAGCTCACCCTTAATCCAACAGATCTCGTATTAAGTCCACAAGTAGCTGACAGCTATGGGTATTCCACTCATCACTCACCTTCAAAGTCTCTGGCAACTCTTACCCAAGCAGCTAACAGAGTTGCATTGGGATCTAGCGCACCATCAGCACCTCTCTTGTGCCGAACAACTCTTAGCAGTAAGGGAGCACCATCTGCTCCAGGAGGTGGAGTTGGTTCTGCGAAGAAGAGATGGCTGCGTCAGGCCATTAGTGAGGAATGTGATTCCCCTACCACAAATTCTTGTGCCAGTCCAAACAGCAGAACAGGTATTATTTTAATATCTGTTTAAAGCATTGTGCTATATGATTTTATTAAGCCCAAATTAATTAGTTGAGAAATTTTACATATCTACTTTTCCCTCAATTTACAAACATACTTTGTTCCATAAATACTGTTTTTAAATTGACAATTTGTAAATAGAAAATAAATTATTACTTCAGATGCTTTTGCTTATAGAAACTGTCATGATCGTACCTTGGAAATTTTTAGTATATTACATAAAATTTTGGTAATGTTGACGTTGTTTTATTTTGAAATAAAATTGAGTTTCCATGAAAATAACGTTCATCTCTGTTTATAGTCATGCTCATGAATTCTGGATATTTTGTTGTTTGTAATTATTACAGATCGAAAGACTTTCGTAGCCAAATTTTTTAAAATATTGTTGCTTGCAGGTTCTCCACCTTGCCCGGATTATGTTACTCCGTTAAAGAAGCGTCGATTGGCACGGGAGTCGTTGTCATCAGAACAGTCTGTGACTCCACCTACAACTCCCACAATGTTAACTGATCATCATTTGTCAAGCAACTCACCGCTGTCTCAAAAATGTGCGCAGTATGATGTGACCGGTATGAACTTGGTGAGCCTGGAGTATTATTCTTTTACTTCTATCATATTTCTGTGTGTCCCTGGACTGCGTGATTGTTAGCATACTAATATAGGAAAAGTACAGTGTGTTCCTACATAAATGCCCTAATTTTAACATTGTATTTCGTGTCTGTGAGCTAATGTAATTTACAAGAACAATGTACGCTCAATTGAACTGCGACAAGAAGTTTCGTCTGCATCGACCAGCGTCGGTGAAGATACTTTGGGGCTGCATTTGCGCAAAATTTCCGATGTCAGTTGCAGATGGTCTTGGATGCCAGTGGTGCAAGTTGGAAATGTCTGTGTGATTGTCAGTCTTCGAAGACAACTGAACTCGATGCAGACATGATTTGTTTTTATAATCGTGATGTTACAATCTGATGTGTCGAGGGGTGAGAGGTATGTTTTGCTACGGGTGAGCGAAAGTAAGTCATCTGAGATTTGAGGTGCTCGCGGCAGAAAAGATTTAATTCTTGGTTTTCCGAGTCGTGATGCCACGTGGTCTTGCAGGTGGTTACCATCATTTCGGAGGAATGAATCACCTCCATTGTCAGGTTTAATTGATCCTGAAGTTGGAGGTGATAGTTCTTGTAAAACAGTAGTCGCCTATAACGCCACGTGGTGCCGCAACCCAGAATATTAAGGTCAGCATTTGTAAGCTCTTTTATTAGGATGTTGTTTTTCTCTGCAGGGTGGATGTGAGGAAGATGATACTGTTGCCTCACCAGTAGATGATGAAACCCATTTGATTAATGATGGTGATTATGAAGGCAGGGAAGAAAAATGTGAACAGAATTTTGATGGGCATTGTAGTCCTATAAATGATTGTTATGCAAGACAAGGTGCTATCAAAAACGTGCCAGTAACGGACTACCCCACTCACAGTATATTATTACAAGGCGATGAAAATGATGCCATTATGAGGGACGGGGGTACAGATGGCGTAGTTTTAATTGGGAGGGAAATCGACCAATCAGAACAAGATGACACTGACTTGGAGGAGAAAGAAAAAGAGGAAATCGAAGAACATATTCAGGCAAGAGAGTCTTCGGTGGATGGTGAAGACGACGATGATGATAATGATGATGAAACTCCAGCTTCTCCATTACATGACATTGAATCTGAGGTTTGTAAAAATATTTCTATTTGTGTTCATTTTTCTCATTTTAGATGTTGATTGTCTGTGCAAAGAAAAGGTACATCCTTATTATGTTATGTTAATGTTGAACCACATAAGTATATCATGTTGGTCATCTTGTTACTCGATTACTGACCATTCTTTGTTACGCTGCATTCTGAATGGATATGTAGGTATAACACATCAGTTTTGTGCTTCTGCATTAAATATAAAATTTGTTTTATGATGTGGAATTGCTTTAAATCATTATTGAAAAACAGTTTTAATCTCAGTATAGCTCATTTTAGCATCCTTTGTGTCACCTTGAAATGTTAATAAAGCGTGTCTTTTGCTAAAGTTTCTGATAAACTGGGCAAAATTTGACAAATTCCACGATGTTTAATTTTGCGTATGTTGTAGTGTTTCGTCATTCCACTTGAGACAGCATTTGCTTGGCTTAATGATACCAACTTCAGTTTGTATTTGAGTACGGCAGCTTGCATCCTGATGATTGTCCGAGTAGAGAATTGACTTGACCTTGAAGCCATGAAATTATGCTAAATGCTGTCCTAAAAAACAATGTCTTTCCTTAAATATTCCCACTGTTGATGGAATCTGCATGATATTTGATACTATGGGTGTGTTACCAGTGACCTGGGTGATATACCAAATAACGTAAAAAATGCGAAATAGAAAAAAAGTACAAGAATGGCACTAAACACTAGAAAGATAGAAATCTAATGAAGAGTTGAGAGTCACCTGATGTTATCCGCGCATTAGAATTGCTGTTTGCCTGCGCAGATGGATTCTTCTGTTTGAAGGTCGAGTCAGTTCTCTGCTCAGACAGATAGCGGGTTGTCACTGGATGGTGGTAGGGAAGTGACAGGCGCTGTCAGCTTAGGAAAATGCTCTGTATTTTTCAGGCCACACTGAGAGAAAATATTGCGGATGTCAGATTTGAATTATCTGTTAATTCAAGTGAAGAGACTGAAGAAGAGGGTTGTAGAGGTTTTGAAGATCAGGAAGGTATTGGAAACCATGACGATAGCAGTAAACAAGGTTGTGAAGATACTGTTGGCAGTGAAACAGAGATACTTAATGGGAACAGAACTGTAGTTGATGTTAACGTGAAAGAACAAGGCACTGCTAGTATGGATTCTTCGGATGTAACTCTCGTGCAACATTCCTTCACAAGGAGTGGCAAAGAAGTTGCTGAAATATCGTCATGCTCAGATTTTTATCAGAAAATGCCTGAAGTAACTTTATCAGATATGGAGAGTGGATATATTGATTCCTGTAAAGGTGATATGTCAGTGGAGCTCCATGATTCAACATTGAAACATCCTCAAGTATCAAGAGATGAAACTCTTTCTGCCGCACAAACATCAGTAGTAAGCTCTGCGACAGCCCAACCCGCAAAGCGCAAGGTTAGAACGGTAGGAACTAATGTAGACTATTACTAAAGTATTTAAGATGTCTTGTGTCTCAGTTAGGATGTGTTTGATTTTTAGTTTAGTTTAGTTGAGTTTACCTGTGTCATAATTTAGGTTAAACATTTTTTTTTGTTTGTCTAATTTGAGGCAGATGTTCTTAATGCTTATATGATCAGCTTGTTCATTTCAAATCCTGCTTGTAGCTCCTCGATGCTGTTTAATAACTTCTCATAAATAAAGGTAGATTTCAAGCTAATCTACTTTCCTGAATCATGTAAAGACTTAAGTATATAAAGGAATTTTCATGGAACATTTAGTACAATTTATATATACAAAATTGGTTTTAAAATGGTGGCCTCAAAGGACAAAATTAGGGTAAAAGTCCTGAAAGTGTTTGCTCCAAAAATGTGATGTAGGAATAATATGTCATCTGTTGTGGTCTTCTGTATTATGAGTGCATTCTTGTAGGTGGTTATCATGTTTCCATTACCCTAAAGATGGAGGTGGTACATTCCTCCAAAATGTTTGTACCGACCTACAAGATCACATGGAAGACCACTGTCAACATCTTTACTGCCGTGAGAGCCTCAGACTTGAGATGTTGCGTCCAGTTTTGTCTGCCTGTTAGAGTTAAAAATAATGAGAATATAATGAATGAGATTTTTGATTTGTTGTGTTGTTTAAGGTTCTGATGACAAAATTAATTGAGTTTATGAATTAATTGCTTTTTACAGTGACATTGATTTCTGTTTCAGCTTTCCATATCTGAATATCGTCAACGCAAACAGCGTAACAGCAGTACAGAACTTAATTCTGGAGGGGTTGAGTGTGATGTAGGCACTAGAAATTCGCCAGCTTGTCGAGGGAGTAGGGGTCGTACAGACAGCTCAAGTAGTTCGTCCTCATCTGTGTCATCGGATGATGACGCACCTAATGCAGGTGCCTCTGTCGCCAGCAGGAACCTTTTACTTGACAGCTCGCCAACGCTCTCTGCACTCCCACTTTTTCTTCATACGGATACATTGGATGATAAAAGAGGTGACGTTTCTGTGGAAATGTGTTAAGGTGTTCCAACATTTCTAAAGGACCTTGTCACGTATTGTGTTACTGTTTCTGTGATTAGGTGTTGGGGAAGAAACTTACATGCGGTGGAACTCCGCTCCAACTCTTGTTGAGCGTCAGAGGGAGAATCTCACAGAGAGACTACGAAGAGAATTTGGGCTCTTTCTCAGTGATGACGAGGAACAAGAAAGAGCACGTAAGCAAGGTGAGCAGTTTTTGGACTTACATCGCTTAACCGCTGCACTGGCAGCTGTTGTGAATGTTTTTTGTGCATTAAATTATATAAGAATAGATATGGGATTGAGGGG